CAAATGCGAGAATGTCACTGCTGCTGTCGGCAGTAATTGCAGTGGTGTTAGCATTATTTTTTTCATTAGCGCGAGCTGAGTGCATGCTGTCCTGGTAAGCTTTGCTCGCACACCCAGGAAACGAAAAAAAAAAAAAAAAAAACGCTTGCTGATTCTGGTCGCATTGTACAAGCACTGCGCTCTTTAGTGTTTTGGTTTCGTTTGAAATGCAGTTTTCTTATATCAATCCGCTATATTTGAGATGCCGTTTTTTTTTTTTAAATCATTCCGCTATATTCTAATGTGACTGATTTTTGGATATCTCATAGTAGTTGTGGGCTCTTCTAGGGATTGACTTAATTGTCCCTTTTTACTTGAATTCATCTGTTTTCATTAATTGAATTATTATTGCGATCTCTGCCATGATGATATTGTTGCGTGAACGACGAGATGCCTGTCCAACAAGGTTATAATGAACACATTATTAAAGCAGCGGTTGCAGTGCTGACCACTTAAGATGAGAGCTCGATTTGTGATAGCCTTTCGTCCTCCACGTGGGGCACACCAGCACATATGTTCCCAGACATTGGCAATATGCATGTAGCAATATGATAGTCATCTTAAATTTCTGCACACAACGTAAACAATTGCAAAGGTGGCAAGCAAGAATCACAGTTTTATTAATTTGAGAATTTTCGACAGTTTCTTGAGAAGTCCTACATAGAGCACGTCCGATATTAAGCGACCTCCTCCTCTAAGCGCCCAGGAAGACGGTGCACAAAAAATTGCATTAATCAATTTTGGTTCTCTTTCCCGTGCACAGCATAGAGCCCGTGGATCATATAAATTTTCAGAGCACTTTGACTCAACTTATGTCGGCGATGATGAAGATTTCCTTGAAGTATTCATATATTTGATACATTTCTATGAAAAATAGTTGCCCTTAATTAGCAGAGCCCCTTTAATGTGTGCATGAAATTTTTGTAATACACTTTTTTGTAATACACTTCGTTAGGGCAAAATCATAGTGGTTATTTCTTGATGTGCGCAGCACTTTACACAACAATATGGGTTCTAAAGATATATACTCACCAACTGATGTTACATTTAGGTGCTCGAAGAGCTTTATCTCGTTGTTTACGAGCCCACCATGACGGCTGTAAACATCCATGGTTTTCGTCTTCTCAGTCAAGGCATTAAAAATATTGGCACTGAGGCCAAAGCCACCCTCGAAATGCTCCAGGTACCTTCGCAGACAAGTTTTCCCAGGCAGCACCATGATGGCTTCTTTGTGGGGATATTCATACAACTTCGGGCTTCGAATCTTCATCGTGATGCATTCCACAATCCACTCATCGTTGTATTGCATGCCTTTATGTGACTTCTATTGTGCCACAACGAAGCAGCTCTTGACAGCAAGTAGTTGTTTTAAGGGAAGAGACCTAATGTTACTTTCGAATGCCTCTTCTGTAAGTCTCATTTTGCGCTTTCATACGAGACATCTGTTTTTCGCTTTCGCATGTTTCTCCTTGATTCTCAACAAATTGCGAGAAATCTCCTTACAGTGCTTCGTTTTGGCATCATCTCTTGCGCTTTCTTTTCTTTGTCTTTTTCTTTCTCTTGCAAGTATGGTTTTGAACTAGAACCCTCTGGTACTTGCAAAAAATGCTAGGCTTTCTGTCTAACTACACTGTTAGCAAACACTTTTCAGAAAAAAACACGCCCCTAAATGAGTTGTGTTTCGATGAAACTGGATTTAAGCTACAACCACCACAAAGAGCTGTCACTGAAACTTCTTTGATGAGGGCTTCAGCCTCATCACTGCGTGTAAGGATTTGCTTTGATTTCTCTTGTCCTCTGAAATATACCGTTGCGACTAGTGATTGCCGTTCAGGCAAAGGCTTTTCAAAGTATATCATTTTCTCTATGAATAGGGTAGAGAAATTATTCGCTTAACTTTCACATTACGCATATGCTACTGTTCTGCTGCAAGAGACTGCACTTTCAGCCAAGTGACTGGAATATTGAGGTCACAGAATGGGTGTCGATGGGTGCATTTCAAGTGCTGAGTTTCAGTGTCTTGCATGCTTTCTGTTTATGATCCACGGGGTGTGGCGCACTTTTCAGGCACGGAAGAATTATCCTCAGCACAAAATTCTTTGGCAGAGATCGCTTCCAAGGCAATTGACTCGGCGCTGTGGTGGTGCTTTGCTGGAATGTCTACATGCTGAAGACAAAAATTTGTTTTTCATTTTGTTGGCAATTTTGGAACAAGGCGCGGGGGATATTCAGCAAATGTGGTGGGCACCGCGTCAAGTTTGAGGCATGGTTTGTCGCAGAGGATCTTGTTGACAACATTGTTCATGATGGCAGTGAACGCACGCTTGATGAAACTTTCATGAAATGATCTCTCACGAACCACGGCAGTTGTTGTCAGTCTCCTGTTCGCCCTCTTTATCCTTTTGTCCCATTTCGCGAGATGTGCTTCATCTGCTGAGGCCATGAATAAGGAAAATTGCTGTTTGTTCGAACGGTAACCAGTTGTACGGAACGGTACGAAGCAGGTTCTTTCCTTCGATCGCCCTGACTTCATCATTCTATTATTCGCCTCATAGTTCCCATTGTGACAGGCACAAAACGCAACAACCACTCACACACCCTTTGACAACACGAACAACAAGCACACAACCCGGTAATAACACTTAAAACGCGAACACAAAAATCCACTTAGCACCTGCAAATCGGCTGTGCGAAGCAGACGACACATGGAATCAGCACCCACCCGCTTGGCAGCGCCTCTCGCGGCAACCCCGGTCATTCATCCAAATCTGTGCCACCCTCCTCCATTGAAACGAGCTGGCGAACGGCATACTAGCTAGTATATTCTAGGCACTATAAATGTACATACACAATGATCGGCTACACAGCGATACCGTAACTAACACTGATCAAACTCAAGTTCAGTCTTAAGCCTTAAACTGTAGCCAAAATGATGTCTCCCGGGCTACTCTCGTGCGCTCTCGCAAGAGTAGAACATTCTTACTATCATGATGCCACTCTCGGAGCTATGATTAAGTGGCACCGCCACGCCGTAATCGTCGTCGGCGCGCGTCCGCTTGACGATCCAATCGTCTGCATTGCCAATGTCTCGATCCTTGTCTCGATTTTCGGATTTTCTAGACCCCGCTTGTCAAGAACTCCCCTGCTGACGAGTCCACTCGGCTGACTGGTGTGTGCTGCTCCTTTCCTAATGTCATGTGGGGAAGTAGTCCACCCAGAACTGCTGAGTGAGGATGCAGCAAGCCCGGGCAGCCTCACCTGGGACCTCCGAGGTCGACGGTCACTTCCCAGGTTCTTCGCGCCGACATCCTTCAGAACAAGGCGGTCATGCTGCTCTCGTTGTTGTAGCGATGCTCGTTTTCCATGTCTTCGCAGATCGGCGTCCCAACACAAAGTGCCAACTTGTCCTCTGGAATTTTTCTTCTCGGCTCGTGTTGCGTGCCATGAGCCTTTCTCCGACTTGTTAGGTATCGTGCCGCTGTCACCACTGTTGGGTAACACGTGTCTCAGCTCACGGCTGCTTCTGCGCAGAGCTGATAGACGGAGTGGATAAGGGGGCAGTCTGTTAGGACAACATTTATGTGCAGCATAAACAGAGGCATTACAGATTTGGCACTGGGGCTCACAGCTTAGGGAGCTTCCACTGAGGTGCGACGTGGACCCGGAATTTCTTCGTACGCTCTCCGACGCTCTGACAGTTCCACGCTTTCGTCTGCTGCTTGTGGTCGCATTGCTTGCTTCTTTTATAGGCCCTGGTAATCCTTACGTCGGCAGCCTTCAATCAGGAACACCACTAGCCCTTACGTTAGCAGCCTCCAATCAGGAACCGCGGCTGGATTCCACTGATGAGCGAGTGGTATTGCCATTCGTTGCTTAAGACGCGCCGGGTTAGATGACGTCAACTGCATCATCAGGCTTGAATCAGACCCGTCGCTGGAGGGAGCTTGTCACGGGTTGCATAAGACACACCGTTGACGGTGAAGGCGTCAACCGGGCACGCTCGCTGGTTTTGATGCTGGTTACCTTTGCAGAATCAACGAAGTTCAGTTTGGACTACAAAGCATAACAGCAGCCCCGCCGCCAGACAGTGCACCAAAGACGAGCTGCTTTCACATGGCTCAGACCTCGGGCGCGCTCGTTCGCGAGGTCCCTCAAGGTTCGCCTCCAGGGCCATGGTGAGCATGTGGCTCCAGGCTCTGTTACGTGAACAGATCCATTCTTGAATAAAGATCCCAGCTCCACTGGCTTGTCGCCCAAAACTTGTCGCTAGCTTCGCTCATCTCTTGAGGATCTATGATTCAACACTTGTTGATGGTTCTCCAACTTGTCAAGAACGGTTCGACAATAAACAACACACGACACAAAAAAGTTCCCTCATTTACCCGACAGAACACCAGACACAATATAGTAAAATATATACCTAGCTACATGTCTATTGGAATTTAGTTCCCTCTACATCAAGAGGCACATATGGTTACCCTTCCAACAATGCAATAAAGTAGAATACAACATAAAGTTGGCCCCTTGAGATCACTCTGGACGAGAGCGCTCAGCTAAGGCCGTAATGAGGACAAAATTTTACCCCGACCACCAGCGAAAGGCGGAAAGGTGGACAAGGTACTACCTAAAACGCATGGCTGAATGCATCTGTGTTAGCGTTTAGCTTTTCTTTCTTATAGCGAACGTCTGAGTTGTGCTGTTGGAGTATAATGCTCCACCTCAGTAACGGCCACTTTTAGGCAACGATACTTATGCGGTACGAAGGGCTGCTCATACTTAAGACCTTGCATATCTCTGTAGCTACGACAGAGAAGCCATGATTTCTCATAAAAAGAAAATCCTTTTCTTGGTTCCCAATTTCACGCTTTCCAGTAGCGATTTAATCTAGAGGTCCTAACGCTGATCTCAAATTAGCATTTCTCGATCAACCCTCGACAGCTCACTCTCACTTTCAACTGCAGGCAAGAGAGTACTGTCCTTCTCGCCCAAGAGCAACACTTCGTCTCCTCTGCCGACAGAGACTTCGCCACTCGCTTCAGCTTTGGGCGACTCGAGTTACTCACCTGGAGACTTTCCTGTCCGAGGCTCCATCGACTCATCGCCAAGGTCACACAGATCAGCCGCTTTTGCAGGTGGTGTTTCACTACATTGAACGAAATAACATTCCTGCGAAAGCTCTCTTGCTTGCGATTGCGTGAGGGCCATGTACGCTAAGTTGGAAAAGAAGGATTTACCCTGGTCTTTGATAAGCTGCTCAGAGTCATCTGAAAAAAAAAAAGATAAGGAAAACAATCTGGAAGCACGGCAGACACGACCGCTTCGGTGCAAAGCTTACCGAAAGAGCTTTCAATGACAACCGTAGCAATTGGTAAGCAAGCACTCTGCTCTTCGGCGACTTGCCTGATCTACGCGCATTCTCCTGTAAAGTCGTTCAAAGACACAAGCGAAGGATGGACAACGTCCATGATTGCGGCTGAGTCTCGAAGTGCTTGACACGTTTTCCCATTGACACTAATTTCCCAGAGACGCGGCTCTAAGAACGGCATGTTTTTTTCTCATAGAGTTTCATACAATAATACCTAGAGAGGAGTCTGGCGCTGCAATCGCGTACCTGCATGGGAATTATGGGAAGTACAAGTTTTGGATTGGATAGGGTAAGCAGCGAAATGTCTACGGTCTTTTTTTGCAGTTTCAGTTTCGTTCTTCGCGCAGCGTGTGTAGTGGGGTGTGGTGAAAAAGGCTGAAGCAGTGCCTTTGTTGTTCGAAAAGGCTGACGACCACTAGATCTACTGATTTGCTGTGACGTTGGAGCTTTTCGGGTCGTATTTGACAGTTTAAACGAAGCGTCATCCACTCATTGCTGGAAGTAGGTGTAGCGTTTCATGCGAGTGCAGGATATTGCCTCAAGTTTATGTTTTTCATGAGCGCGTGTTGCTTAAACTCGTTTTAAATCAACTGCAAAGCTATGACAAAGCTAAGTAGACACACCGTCACACTCCGCTGACTCGACTTCACAACAAACCAGAGATGCGTTGGGGGCAGATCACTGGAACAGACCACTGGGACAGACGCCCGTAGCGTCGCAGAAGACAAAATGATAAGATTTTCTCACCTAATACTGTACTCTTATTTCCATAAATAGATAAAAATAAGGAGGTTTGTTTTGGGTGTTGTAAAAAATAATTCATTAAACCTTGATGCGAAATCTGGAATGCAATCGCAGAGCGATGTGTACCCTGATGGTTCAATTTGCCCAGGTTTCACTTTTGCCACGTGGTCACAAAAACTTTTTGCAGTAAAGTTAGCACACAAATAACTGAAGCAAGTTTCATTTAAATCTAAGTTCATATCACTTTGTTTTACACTCGAAAAAGAAGCGTCGTGAATCTCAAGAATGTAATCCATCCGAAGCGGATCTGAAGCCTGTTTTTCTCATAATTTCCATGCGGGTACAAGCGCTGCTGAAGGAGCCCGCGTAGACACCAACGCCAGATTCCCCTCTAGGTATTAATGTATGAAACTTTTTTTTTTTCAATCCTCGGATTTTTGCGAAAGCAAACTTTTTGTTTACAACGTAACGCGATGTGCCCTTCCTTTTTGCAGTTATAGCAGATATGTGGCTTTCGTGACTCCAATGCCCGTGTGGTATCGATGCGCTGCTCAGGAACCTCGCTAGATCTTTGTACTTCCATTTGCCCTTCCCCTACAGTGTCCTTCGTAAAACGGGTCCTCTCTGAAATTACGCTGCAGAGTGGGTTTCTGTTCATCAGGTTTCTTTGAAAAGCCCTCTTTTACCTTTTTAACGCGCACTGCCCTACTATGCAAGTTTCGGCGAGTGTAGCACTCAGCTAACTCTGCTGCCTTGTATAGCTGTACTCAGTGATGCGATAGCTGCACCGATTGCGCCAAACTGCACCACGACTGGAAACCTGCTACATCCGGCTACATTTGCTCTTGTATGCACCAAAAGTGTGCCTAATTACAAGATACTATCGAAAAAAAAAAACGGGCGCAACGCGTCGCGGGTGACAGCGTGCGGTTGGGGCTCGCCTGCGGCCTTCCAATTTACCCACGTGTGAGGAAAATCAGTGTACGGCTGGGGGTGGGGGGGATATGGCCGGTCACTGATTTATGGGGAGGTGCAGACAATTGTCCCCAGACTGGTGTAAATTAGGGTGACCCCCTGAAAATGCACCTTGGACAGTTCGGCTTGCCGCGAGCCAGTGTCCGAGGCTCCGAGCTAATCGTGTTTGGCAGGTGGATAGAAAACAGCAGCACGAAACGGCTGAAAGCTGGAAGGGCAGTGAACTAGCGAACCAGTTTAAAACTTATTTGTGACTGATTGTCAAAGGTCAAGTCAGACTTAGCTCAAATATCAAGGGAGGGATGCGGCTTTCGTATCTTCAAAAATGGCCGAAACAATCTACTTTTGTTTCTCTTTTGTTTTCAGTTTCTGGAACCCTTTTTCTATCTAATTCCAAAATATCTACCCTGAAAACTGAGCAGAAGTGCTTCAGAAAATTCATTTCACCCTTCTAGGTAGTGAAAATATTTCTGGAAATCATGAAAAAATAGCGATTTTTGAAAAATTGTAGATTCGCAATGGCGCGGCCAGGAGCCGGCTTCTTGGGCTCATCAGAAAGAGCCCAAGAAGTCGTGTTCTTTGTGTTAAAATTTTCCGCCTTAGCTGGTTCCTCACTTAAAAAACGATCGCACAAAAAGCAAATATTTGAAGGTCATTTTGAAGGCCACCGTGTGGCCCCAGCTCGTCTCGTCATAGGCTCGATGCTCGCTCTGTGAAAACGCCGTCTGCTGCTCGTGCGTCGCGAGGACATGCTGTCAGAAATCGCTACTTCGTGACGTGTTCACGGCTCGATGATCACTTAGGATATAATTATGCTTTAGCTTGGAGCGGGCGTGCGGTCTACGAGTGCGGCGCATCACCGAAGCCGCCTTTAGGCCTACCTCTGCTGACGGCGAGACAAACTTTGCAGGCGAGAACAATGTGCCAGCGCACTCTTGCAAATCTGCATCTTCGCAAGCAACGAAACCACTTGCTAAATTCTTGGAACCGTGGACGGGCATTTTATGCATCGGCAGCGGACCTCACAGTCAAGCTCGTCAACTCCCCCCTCCCTCCAATACCAAGATTGCTCGGAACAGCAGCTAGCAGTTTCGCTTGTTGGCACTCCAAAATGCAATACCAAGTGCAGTGTGTGCCAATTTTTTGTCGCCGTAGCTACACATTTCGCTTATCGTCACCGAACGCCGCTGCCAGGTGCATCACGCTCCGGCAGCACTGTCCACGCGGCCGCGTATTTCACGGTCATATGGGATGCTGTCAATAAGCTTTTGTGATGCGATTTAAACGTGCTTGGATCCATGCTTGGTGTCGCCACGAGCGTTTATGAATGTTGTGAGACAATGTAAGCCTCTTAGATTAGCGTTTCCGCGACCCCTAAAAAGTGAAGTTCTTTGGGCGACCATTGTACGCACACCACATACTGGATCAAGCAAGCGCATCTGTACTACTAGTCCTTGTTTAGTGAAGGAGAAATATGACTCTCTGCAGCCCATGACGTGATGTCAGACAAGAAGACAACCAACTAGACAACAATTCTTCTGCAATTAAAAAAAAAATTAAACAGTGTTGCTAGTCTTCAGTAAAAAATTCCATAGTGATTTATTTGTTCTTCAATAATAACTGCTCTCCTACATTATTTCGGCAGCCAGAATGCAGAACCAATTCGTAGTTGGTTGCGTCCCTTATTAAAAAAGGCACTGGAAGGTTTAAAATAAGTTTGGGTTAATATTCTCTGATGTTATACAAACACCTTCAAACATCCATGATTGCACAGAACTTCTTAATTTAAAAGCGTCCCTCCTTAGTTCACTGCTTTGCTTCACACGGTCAGTGTCTCACTTGGCAGTGAGCCTTAAGGAGAGATGCGGGTCGAAAAACGCGAGTTTTCTACAAAATTACCGATTTTTTATTTTCTCCTGTTTTGATAAGATTAGTACCTCTACTGTTCTAAAAAAAAATAACATATCGAGACTTAACTGGAAATATTTTAAAATTGCGTGTAAAGAGCACAAGGTGCCTGTTAAAAGGTCCAAAGTGTACAGTCTTCGAGCACCTTGCCGCCGCTCGTCATTGTTGATCGCATGGGGCAAAGAGTCGAGTCTCACTCTTCAAATAACGAGAGTTTCCTTCACTGATGGGGCGCGAGAAATAATAAAAATAAGCATGCTTTTGCACGTTTTTCGAGTGCCACGACTGGCTTATCACGTGGCACGGATCGGGGACCGCCATTGGCCGCTGCGCGCCTGTATGTGCTGTGAAACCTACTTGCGGGGTCTACGTCTTGTCGAGCAACGCAGCTGAACAATGCTTTTCTCGTGTATTTATCTCCGTTATGAATCAAAAAGCCATTGCTCGCGCGTGAAAGTCGTGGCGCCCAGTCTGTAGAAATAGACTACGAGAAGCTGGTCCCATTTGCGGCAGTTGTTGGCTTGCAAAAGCCAATGCATCAAAAGTCATTAATTTCCGGAGCCCTACACTACAGCGTCTCTCATAATCATAAGGTGGTTTTGGGACGTTAAACCCCACAAATCAATCAATCAAAAGTCATTCACAGCCATCAGCCAGAAAGTTCGTGATGCGGCAACGGATGATTTCAGTGCGACTCTTGCGAGGTCGAAGGAGCTCACAGTGAGGAAGCTTAGTGGGGACGACATCGCCATTATGTACGACGCTATGTGGCACAAACGTGGCCCCAAAGTGGCATCAGCACTGTAGTGTCCGTTGACACTGGACTTAGTTTAGATTTTGCAGTCCTGTCAAACTTCTTCCTAGCTTGCAGTCGGCACAAAGCTCTGCCAGATGGAGCGGAAGAAGTTTGACCAACGGTTCATGGTCCTGTCTGTAAGCGAAATGCCTGTGATGAGTTGGCTCGAAAATGCCGAGAAAGAAAAAGTCATGGTGCTGGCGTATTTTAGTGGCAGTGGCCACTACAAGAAAGATTGTTCTTTTTGATGTGCGAATTTCATCCTATTCATACACATTTTTCATAAATAAAAACTCAATTTTAACTTTAAAACTTGTTTTTCTGAAAACACAAATTTTGCCATT